CATGCATATGTCTATTTCAAGGCCTTTGTTAACTGCTGTTTCCTCTGCCTTCCATGCTCCTTCCCCATGTTGCAGTGAGCTTAGCGGAATTATTAATTCCCAAAATTCTGTCAGGTAACTGGATGGTTCTTTTATTGGTTTCACCTGGATCTGCTCATGAGGCTGCAATTCGCTGGCAGCTTGGCTGGGGCTCAAGTACCTAAGAGCCAAATTCACACATCTCAGACTTGGTGCTGGCTGTTGTTTGGTCCACTGTCTATATGTGGCCTCCCAAAGTTAGATATTCTATCCCAGGCTTTCTTACGTGATAGAAGGAGCATCCTAAGAGGGGAAAAGTAGAAGATGAAAGGTCACTTAAGGCCTAGGATTTGCAATTCATACAATGTCTTCTTCGACACTTGGTTAAAACAAGTTATACGGGCAACTCAGATTCAAGAGGGTGGGAAACTCTACCTTTTGATGGAAAGAGCTGCAAAATATTGTGGATGTGATATACCAGCCCCCAAATATTTGCATGGCTCACTCCTTGCATATGTCTGCTCAAATGTCACCTTATCAATGAGAACTTCTGGGATTCCATATGAAGTACCTAACTTTTCCTCACCTTAGCATTTACTGTCTCACATTTTTCTCTTCTCTACAGCATGTATCACCATCTGACATTGCACATTTACTTATTTGTTTACCATCCATCTCCTTCCACTACCTCAGACATAGCCTTGTATATAGCAGGCACCCCAATCAGTATCTGTTGAATACATTCTATCAAACATGTGTCATGAATTAATAAAGCAGGATCCAAGTAACTAAAAAAGCTAATATAAATTTTACTGTGGAAAAATGTTGATGGCTTTATATGTTCTTTTATTCTGTGATTTTGAACAAAATATTTTATAATGCTTCAGTGTGGTTGTCTATAGACTTTAGCCATGTGTCTCTGTTTCTTAGATATAATGAGGCTGGGCACAGTGGCTCACACCTGTAATCCCAGCTTTGGGAGTCCAAGGCGGGTGGATCACTCCTGGATCCTAAAGCCAGGAGTTTGAGACCAGCCTGGCCAATTGGTGAAATCTTTCTCTACTAAAAATATAAACATTAGCAAGGTGTGGTGGTGCTCGCCTATAATCTCAGCTACTTGGGTGGCTGAGGCACAAGAATTGCTTGAGCCTGGGAGTCAGAGGTTGCAGTAAGCCAAGACAGCATTACTGTAATTCACCCTGGGCAACAGAGCAAGACTATGTCTCTCAAAAAAAAAAAAAAATTTAAAAAGAGAAATACATACAATGAGAATGTTTTTTAAAATATCTAGATAAATATTAATTATGTACCCAGTCTCTAAAACCAATAATTTAAACTCTTTATTAAGTTTCTGCAGGGCCTAGAAAAAGCCATCTTGTTAACCTATATTAAGTCAGAGTTTAACTTAGAAAAAAAACTAAGTAAAAAATGCCAGAAAAAATGACAATAGTTTATTTGAGATATATATATATGTGTGTGTGTTTACCTATGTGTGTATAAAAATGTTCTGACCCAGTCCTGAATCCATTCCTTATAAACAGAGTAAACTGAGTGAATGACACCAGAAGAAGGATCCATACTAAGGGAGGTATCAGTACTAAAGCCACTGCCACAACCATCCCAATTAACTAAGGTCACTGTTACCAGGTCTAAACTAGCCTTATCTCCAATGTGGAACATAAGATTACCTATTAAAAATCCTCACTAATTGCTGTACTAGAACCATAAAACCTGAGACACTACCTAAGTGACTCAGCTAGTTAATGATAGAAGAATCTTCTTCCTCAGAGAAACTGTGGTTATAATGGGTTAGGGTGAGGGTGGGGAAGATATGCTTTTAATTGTATATCCTTTTAGCCTTTTTTTTTTTAAACATGCATGTTGAACCTATAAGCAAAAAGTAAAAATCAAAACATTAATTCAATTGAAAAGCAATAGATTCCCTCCACGCTTGAGATACAGTAAATAAATCTAAAAGGAAGTTTCCATTAATGTCATTTTATACAGACTACTATAGGTAACTGAAGAAAAAATCAGAATAAAATAATAAGCACTATATGTATATGTATGTGTTCATGTATTTGTATATTATGGCCCATGTGGAAACCCATTCCCCCTTGCCAAATTGATAAGACCGGACATCATTTAAATGCAGAAGATAGTTTGGCCCAATAATGTCCTATTTTAGGCAGAAGAAATCTCAAAACAAAGAACACAAAACACTTGCTGGCTTGAAAAATGTTGGTTCAAAAAACAAGTAAATGAGAATTTTGTTATTTTAAAGCAACTAGGGCTAGGTGCTATGGCTCATGCCTATAATCCCAGTGCTGTGGGAGGCTGAGGGAGGATTGCCTGAGGCTAGAAGTTTAAGACTAGCCGGGGAAACACAGCAAGATACCAACTGTAGTCTCAGCTACTCGATCCTGTAGTCCTAGGATCACTTGAGCCTAGGAGTTTCAGGCTGCAGTGAGCTATGATGGCACCACTGGACTACAGCTGGGGCAACAGAACAAATCCCTGTCTCCCCCATCCCAAACAAAAAAAAAAGGCAACTCCACTTAGGATTCATTTTACTTATACCAAATAGATTTAGAGATAACGTTGAAACAATTATCCACACAGACACTTATCCTAATCAGTTGCTGATAAATTATTATGATTGCTTTGGATATGCTTTCTTGTTAGAACTCTCCCAAATACCTACATTAAATTCTAACTTGATGTAGTTATAGTTGTGAATGATCTTTAATGAATGTAAATTTTCACTAACATTAAATGTGTCCTTCATACCAGCAAAAAAAAAAAAAAAAAAAAAGAAAACAAAAGAAAAGAAAAAAGGACTAGGTAATGTTGATTTGATTCCCAGCCCCGGGAATCTTCTCATTCATAGAAAGGAGCTATTCTCTTCTACATTAAGAAACAGAAATAGAAACATTGTTATTTCAAAAATTTGATGAATCAAATGCTTGAAGAAAAACCACATATACATTTACAAAGTCTAATAGTAGTTGATATGGTGTGGATCTATGTCCTCACCCAAAACTCAAGTTGAACTATAATCCCCAATGTTGGAAGTGGGGCCTGCTGGGAGGTGACTGGATCATGAGGGCAGATTTTCCCTTTGGTACACTGACAGTGAGTGAGTGTTCACAAGATCTGTTTTTTGTTTTTGTTTTAATGTGACACCTCCCTGTTCTTCTCTTCCTCCTGCTCTAGACATGTGAAATCCTCACTTCCCCTTCACCTTCCACCATGATTGTAAGTTTCCTGAGGTCTTCCCAGAAGCCACTATGCTTCCTGTACATCCTGTACAACTGTGAGCCAATGAAACCTCTTCTCTTTATAAATTACCCAGTCTCAGATATATCTTTGTAGCAACGTGAGAACGGACTAATACAATGATAAATAGGAAGGGGTAAACATAAAAAGGACAGTGAGGAAACAGAGTTTCTAGTCTGGGCATTTCCATGAGCTAGTTGTATGATCTTGGGCAACTCATTTACTCTCTAGGCCTAATTTTTTCATGTGGAAAGAAGGGAGGGAATAAGATCAGGTATCTTAAACATTTTTTAGAGATTTTTAAGATCCTACTAAGTTTTTTAAAAAGCACTACAGGGCCAGGCACAGTGGCTCATGCCTGTAATCCCAGCACTTTGGGAGGCCGAGCCAGGTGGATCACCTGAGATTAGGAATTCGAGACCAGCCTGACCAATGTGGTGAAATCCTGTCTCTACTAAAAGTACAAAATTAGCCAGGCATGGTGGCGGGCACCTGTAATCCCAGCTACTCAGGAGGCTGAGGCAGAAGAATCAATTGAACCCAGGAGGTGGAGGTTGCAGTGAGCTGAGATCGCACAATTGTACCCTAGCCTAGGCAACAAGAGTGAGACTCCATCTCAAAAAAAAAAAGCTACAAATTCTGTAGTATTGGTAAAATGTCCACTGTAACAACCCTTTGACCCAGAAAATCTTTTAAGAATTATCCCAGAAATGGACTGGCCCATGTGAGCAAATATTTGTAAATGTGGACAAGTATGTTCACTGATATTTGTATTAGCAAAAGGCCTAAAGAGAAAATAATTAAATGTTCAGAGAAAGCTACTTTAAAAAAATTATAGCCATCTACAGAATGGAATAACCATGAAGTCATCCGAAAGACTAAGAAATTATATGGAACAATTTCCAAAATATATGGTTATTTGAAAAAAGCATGGCAGAGAATGGTGTGTATAGTGTGTCATTTCAACTTTTAACAAAGGATGTAAAACAGACACAAACACATGGATATAAATGTCTGTGTGTGTGTGTGTGTGTGTGTGTGTATCCATACACAAAAAATTCTTGTTTATGCAAAGAATGTTTCTAATTGGATACATAAGAAACTGGAATTGGACACATAAGAAACTGGTAATGGCCGGGCGTGGTGGCTCAAGCCTGTAATCCCAGCACTTTGGGAGGCTGAGGCGGGTGGATCACGAGGTCAAGATATCGAGACCATCCTGGTCAACATGGTGAAACCCTGTCTCTACTAAAGATACAAAAAAATTAGCTGGGCATGGTGGCACGTGCCTGTAATCCCAGCTACTCAGGAGGCTGAGGCAGGAGAATTGCTTGAACCCAGGAGGCGGAGGTTGCAGTGAGCCGAGATCGCGCCATTGCACTCCAGCCTGGGTAACAAGAGTGAAACTCTGTCTCAAAAAAAAAAATAAATAAAAAATAAACTGGTAGTAGTTGCTGCTTCTAGGAGGGGAACTAGCAGTTTAAAGCAGAAGAAAGATTGAACTTTTCATTGTAAACTATTTTCCACTGTCTGATTTTACTATGTATAGCTTTTTCATTAAATAAAAAAAAACACACACACAAAATATTTACTTAAAATACTTATAATATTCTCTATACTTGAAATTAGCCAAAAGGCCTGATTTACCAAATATGTAATATTATCTGAGAAAAATTACTTTATGCAAGTATTTTTCAAATTACCTTGAAAAGCCTGGGAAACACATCTGCTGGTTGTCCACGAATCACAAACAGACGAGAGTTTAATTTTCGTAGATTGGCATCAAGATCCTCAAGACATTGAAGCAAAAATCTAGAGAGAAGAAAATATTATTTAAATTATTAAAAATATATATTTAGAAGATAAAGTATTACAAAATCATGTTATATAAGCTGAAATGCCAACCTTTTATCTTATTACCTTATTGATTTATAAATTATTCTTTCCAAAAACCATACCAATATGTATTTTTTAATTATAGCACAAATTACCTAGTATTTTAATAAAGTCCTGAATAAAATCAGTAATTTTCATTCAAGTGATTATTAGTGAAAATTTAATTTGTGAACATAAAAATATATAAAGAAGTATCAAAGTAATTAAATGAAATTGGTTTCATCGTTTAAACTTGATGAAATATTTTATATATGAAAATGACTTTTCACATAGAAACTTGAAAAATTAAGACTATCTTATGCTGGAGGGAAAAAAAACAGAAATGTCTTATATAATGAATCAGCAAGTAAATAATTTAAGAATACAATGGTAAAAAGGAATCTGAGGGTATAAAAAAAGAAAACAAGAATATGAGTACATTTTTGTAATATTGTAATCATTTAAGAGACTGAAATCATAATGCCCATTTTCAAGTTTCTAATCTATTTAAAAAAGAAACTAATAGTAAACAGATGCCAAATTATGTGTCTATTAATTCTCTGAATGTAGAAAATGCCATATTAACTTCTAAAAAAAAGAAACCATTCCATGGAGTGGGGGTGGGGACTATAGACTTTATCAATGAAATAAGTAGTAACAAGGCTTACACATGACAAATATCTAGGAAAATTCTGGGGCAGTACCAGAATACTGCTTACTGTGCATTTTCTGTTGTGAAGAAATGGAACACTCCCAAAGAGCAAATTTAAAAGAGATAATCACCCATCAAAGGTCCAATCTTATTTGTGCCTCATGTTAATTTTCATCTAGATTCTATCCTTTTCAGCTGGACATATCTTATTTCCTATTTTGCTTCTTTTATGTTCTTGTTACTAAGATTAAGTATTTGTCTGCCACATGGTCTTTGAGAATAGTGACTATGTCTTACTTGTGAAGAGGAGTGATTAAGAAGCAGGCAAAGGCATATTCCAGAAGTGTACTATCCAATATGGTAACCAAAAGCCCCATGTAGCAACTTAAGTTAATTTAATTTAAAAATCACACTTGCCACACTTCAAGTCCTCAACAGCCACATATATAGCTAGTGGTTACCATACTGAACAGAATAGCTACAGATCATTTCCATCATTGCAGAAAATTCTCCTGGACAGATTGTTCTAAAAAGTTGCTCGGTCTAGATCATTTTGTTCTCCTTGCCCGTTCGGATCCCATCATTTCACCAAATAAATCTTGTTGATTTTTTAGAACTGTAGTTATTAGTAACATAAGTACACTAGTGAGGTCTGACACTTCTTCCCCTTTAGGAGCACCATCTGTACAGCTTAAAGAGTCGCAGTGCTATATATATATATTTATTGTACTTTAGGTTCTGGGGTACACGTGCAGATCATGCAGGAATGTTGCATAGGTACATACATGGCAAGGTAGTTTGCTGTCTTCATCCCCCCATCACCTGTATCTGGTATTTCTCACCTTATTATCCCTCCCCACCCCTCTGCTATCCCTCCCCTAGCCCTCCCCAACTGACTGTAGTATGTGATGCTCCCCTCCCTGTGTCCACATGTTCTAATTGTTCAACACCTGCCTATGAGTGATAACATGCAGTGTTTGGTTTTCTGCTCACGTCAGTTTGTTGACAATGATGGTTTATTCATCCATGTCCCTATGAAGGACAAGAACTCACTGTTTTTTATGGTTGCATAGTATTCCATGGTGTGTATGTGCCACATTTTCTTTATCCAGTCTATCATTGATGGAAATCTGGGTTGGTTCCAGGTCTCTGCTATTGTAAACAGTGCTGCAATGAACATACGTGTGCATGTGTGTTTATATTAGAACAATTTATAATTCTTTGGGTATATACCCAGTAATGAGATTGCTGGGTCAAATGGTATTTCAATTTCTAGATCCTTGAGGAATCGCCACACTGTCTTCCACAATGGTTGCACTAATTTGCACTCCCACCAACAGTGTAAAAGTGTTCCTATTTCTCCACATCCTCTCCAGCATCTGTTGTCTCCAGATTTTTTAATGACTGCCATTCTAACTGGTGTGAGATGGTATCTCAATGTGGTTTTGATTTGCATTTCTCTAATGACCAGTGATGATGAGCATTTTTTCATATGTTGGCCTCATAAATGTCTTCTTTTGCAGTGTCTGTTCATATCCTTTGCCCACTTTTGGATGTTTTCTTTTTCTTGTAAATCTGTTTTAGTTCTTTGTAGATTCTGGATATTAGCCCTTTGTCAGATGGGTAGATTGCAAAAAATTGTTTCCCATTCTGTTGGTTGCTGGTTCGCGCTAATGATTGTTTCCTCTGCTGTACAGAAGCTCTGGAGTTTAATTAGATTTTATTTGTCTATTTTGTGGCTTTTGTTGCCATTGCTTTTGGTGTTTTATCCATGTCCTTGCCTATACCTATGTCCTGAATGCTTTTGCCTAGGTTTTCTTCTAGATTTTTTTATCGTGTTAGGGACATCCCACAATTTCACCTTACGAAGTCTCATGGTGGGTGTTAGGGACATCCCACCATTTCACCTTAGGAAGTCTAAAATAGGAAGCAAACCCTTCTATCCTCATATTTATATTGCATCTCATCCCTTTTCTGCCTTGGTTTGGAGTCACCTATCTAACACCTGATCCCCACCCTAACCCACCACTACCAATGTATGAACACTTCAGGGGAGAAGATTGTTGTTGTCAGATGCATAGTGATATAAAAGCATCTGAGTTTAATAAAATTATCTCCAACTATGAATAATTTATTATGTCTGGTTACAAATGCTTACTGGGAAGCATCTAATTTTATGTATTTGCTTGGCAAGAATTTGGCAGAACAAAGATCAAAGAGTTTTTACACAGATCAAAAATTAAGTTGAAAGAACTATTTTAAGTTTTCTTAAATTGAAACAGTACAAAATTTAAATGTCCTGGAAGGGTAATTTAAGGCAATGATAGTCCCCTAATCTCTGTTATATCATTAGTTTCAAAATCTACCCCACCAGAAGGAGGAAGAACTGAGAACAGCAAGAATTCTCCATATTCAACTTTATGGTCAAAACAATTCTATGTGGTATAAGAGTTAAATGACAAACAGTAAAATGGGAAAAGAAATAAACCAAAAGGGCATGATTAATTAATAAAATGAATAATTAAGTATGAATTAATGATTGGCTCTTTATCTTTCCCTTTCTTGTTAATAGGCTGAATAAGGATTCTTTTTTTTTGACAAGATCTTGTTTTGTCGCTAAGGCTAGAATGTAGTGGTGCAATCATGGCTCACTGCAGCCCTGAATTCTCCCACCTAAGCCTCTGGAGTGACTGGGACCACAGGAGTATGCCAGCACACCCAGGTAATTTTTACAGTTTTTGTAGAGGTGGGGTCTCCCCACATTGCTCAGGCTGCTCTCGAACTCCTGGCCTCAAGTGATCCTCCCACCTCAGCCTCCCAAAGTGCTGGGATTACAAGCATAAGCCATCACATGCCTGGCCTTAATAAACATTATATGAACCAAACAAATGCACAGAATGATATGGACTGAAGTAATGTGTTATAATGGGAAAAGTTTTGCGACCAAAGAATTAATTTTGTTTTGGTACTTCATGAAAAAAAGGAATAAAAGCTGTATTAAGTATTGTTTTCTTCTTCCAGAGATAGAATTTATATCCCTCATTTCACATAAAAATTGCACAGATTTAAAAAACAGAAGCACTTTAAAAATAATACAGGTACTTTGTAATAAAATATTTTAAGTGGAAAAGTCTGTGAAGAAAAGGAAAAGAGAAGGATAAAGTAGAACACACTATGATGCTGTTCTTTGTTATAAGGCTTTTAAAACTATTTGCATATATTACTTTAATAAAATAAAATTTACATTGCTTGTATCTACTTTTGTTTATATGTGCACAAGAAAATAATTGGAAAAATACTTACCAAGCTATTAATCATATCTACCCTTAAGGAATGGGGGTTTGAGATAGGGGTGAGAAAGAGAAAAACAAACACATTTCTTTTAACTTCATAAAAAAGTTTAAAATTGATAGTGTACATTCCTTTAAAGTAGAAGAAAAATGAGAAGCTGTATCTACTGTATACCTGGTTTAATACATGGTGAATATCTTTTCAAAGCAATGAACATACTTCTATGGCATCAATTTTCATAGTTTCATAGTATTCCATTGCACAGATGTCCCATAATTTAACAAGTCTATCAACAAATTGCTATCCTTAAATCAATCCTGAAAGTCCTATTTAGTCTCCTCATCTGTAAAATTAGGACAGTAATAGGACCTGTCTCATAGCACTGTTCGTGAGAATCAAATAAATGAACATATGCAAAGCTCTTAGAATAGTGTCTGTCCATAGTAAGTACAATGATATGTTATCTATTACCTTTTAGTGTTCTCCTTCCTATCCACTTCTATTTTTGCTATAATAATTTTAGTTCACATTATTGCTTGCTTGTATTATCTACTGCAATGCCTGAAAATAGATCTGCCTACTATCAATCTCTCTCCATTCTAATTCATTTTATATGCAATTCCAAATCTTCATGAGGCACAGCTTCCTGTACAAAGGTTTTCAAAGACTCATTCCCTATAGAATACACAACAAATTATTTTGCTTGGCTACTAACCTAGGGTTCTAAGTTTGTTTCCTGTCTCACACCACCCCTTTCTCTCACACCAAACCAAACCTGTCTTTCACCACACATTCAGTCTCCCGGAATTTGCTCCATGCTCTTTCCTTGGCTTGGAATACCTTTACCAATTCTCATTCCTTTAAGTTCATATCTCACTAATCTTAAATCTTTCAGGTAAAAGTCACTTCTCCATCTTCTGAACCTCTGAGGTATATTATGTCCTTCAGAGGATGAAAAAATTTTACCTCATATTATAGCTATCACACACACACA